CCGTGGCCAACGATTTATTGCGGCGATTTCAAGGCGCGGGTCACAGTGCCCAGCGATGGCTTGGTCCCTCTACACAGGTGGCAGATGGCCTGGACGTGCTCATCGTTACGACCGACATGTTTGTCCGCGTGGGATCTGAATCCCTACATGGGAAGGTCTGCTTTCAGCGCATCCGCACCGTGGTGATGGACGAGGCACACACGCTCATCTCAGATGCCAGCTACCGAGATGTGATGAACGAAGTCGCAGCCAGTGTGGGCTCTGGCGGATGGACCAACATCAAACGCGTGGCGTTGGCGGGCACACTTTGCATCGGGGACCAGGAGCATTTGTTTCGCAAGCTGGGTCAGCAAGTCGGGGGCAAAGTGTACCGTCTGGAGACGATGCGTCGCGATCTGCAGCTGCGTGTGCTTCACGGAAACCAGCTAAACTTTTTGTCGCATGTGCAAGCCATTGTGGACACGCAGCGGGTGATGCGTCAGGCAAATGGGAAGCGTGTGCACATGATGGTATTTTGCGACACTGTGAACGAGGTGAAGCTGCTGTGTGACCAGCTGCACGCACGCGGCTACGTGGCCTTGCCCTACTACACCGACCTGGAGGAGAAGGCGCAAAAGGACCATGTGGCACGGTGGCAACGGGGTGAATGCGACGTCATTGTGGCCACTAGCTGCCTCAGCACGGGTGTGGATCTGCTCACCATTCGCCACGTGCTGTGGTATGGCAATGGCTACATCGTCTATACGCTGGCCCAGGTACGTTGTTGCTCAAACAGTCGTGAAAAAACAAAAAAAAAATCAATTGTTGGGTTTGCTGATGGTGTACATGTGCTTGGGCTAGGCATTTGGTCGGGCTGGTCGCGATAAACAGGGAGGAACTGCCGAGCTGTGGCTACCAGTGAGACGTGGGCCAGCACCGGGCATGGAAAATTTTGTCGAGGGCAATGCGTGCCGCAGCTGGGCGCTCGGCAAGTTGCTAGATCCCCGCGCCGCGACATGCTTTGCTGCCGGCCAGCCGCTTTGTGACGTGTGCGCAGGAACAGCACAGCGCCTGGAGCCAGCAAGAGCTGCACGCCAGCAGCGTGCTGCCCAAGCGTTGAGTGTGGCGCATGTGGAAGCAGAGGCCGAGGCGATGGCGGAGGAGGAAGATGTGTTGTCTGAGCCACCTGCAGCACGGCTCGAGGAAGAAGAATCGATCGGGCCAGAGTCCGCTTTGGATGTAGCTTCAGCATCAAACGTCGAAACGGCAGCGTCTTCAGGACGAGCTGCCGTTGCGGCGCAGTCGAGCAGAAGCACTCCACGTGCCCAGG